GTTCATAACCCAGCATCCTTTTGAATTATTATATCGTTTCAAATTCCTCCACAAAGCTGTGGACTGAATACTCACCGATCCGCTGGCTTGAATTACTTGGAATCCATTTCACTTTATTTGCATCGTCGCAAATCATTTTGAAATCGGCTACCAATGAAAAGAATTCCAATGAGTTTGTCTGAAATCATGTAATAGTTGGCTATTAGCCAGAGAACTAATCTAATAGGTAAAAAGGAAGCGGAAGCAATTGTCGAAAACGCTCTGAATAAGGCAACCTCTTCATGGCTGATCTATAATCGCAGGGGGCCAAGGGGAAGACACCAGGCGCCAGAACGAGATTCTAGACGACGAGGGACTGTAAAAGTTTGGGGAATAGCGAGAAACAGACCGCCCATAACAGCATTTCCAGAGCAGATTCACAGGAAAGAAATGCAGTTAGGTGTTGGCGAAATAGCACCCTTGCCATGCAGCATTAATGACATCTTTGCGGCTAAAATTTATGGCTACTGATTGGTTTTTGGCTGACGACTGCTGTCGAAAATACTGGAACTAAAGGCATTCGTAAGTCCACTGTAGTACGACGGGAAGACCTAACGCACCGCACGGGAGGGCACAGACACCCCTTCGCATAAATCTTTATGTTCTGGGCGACAGGAGTGGCGATCAGCTGCAGCGGTCATGGTAAGGCCCCTGCACCTCTATAGAACGTTTTGAGCTCGCGGAAGTAGGGTACCCGACAGGAGGCCCGTCGCGCGGCGAGAAGGCAGAGACGCAGACGGTCAGGCGGACGAGTCGCAGCGCGTACTGTAGCGATTAGCGTCAAGTTAAATGGAATGTACTACAGTACGTCCCACATCGCACAATACGCGTTGCAACTCGCATGTGGCGCAATTGAGGGATTGCTCAACGTTGAGAATATTGAAACATCATCATTCATCTTTCCAGGAGATCTGTGACTAAAATTTAACGAACCTCAGCAGTGTAAGTTGAGCAATTGTTTTTCAGGAAAGCACAGCTCGTATCATCTGTTGGTGCGTTGACTGGAAATATTCTTCCTTAATTGGGTGATCCATCCAAAAATAGCATTGCCATTCATTCATTTACCTGTATAAAAACTTCCATTTCTCATCGTACAGTTCCAGTTCGGTTCGAGTGATCCGAGTACATCCATAAAGGTGCTGTTTCCTGAATATTACAATTGTATCCCAAGCCAATACCACACTCCAATCAGCTTATAGTGTCAGAGTCCGCGATCCGTCGCAGATTTCGCGCGATTCGCGCGACGGATCACAGAAATCACAAGTGCCCGATCAATACTGCAAGGTGCTCTCCAATCCCGCCGCCATTTCTGCTTGATGGTGATGGTTGAATGACGACTGTTCATGATTCTACTTGTTTCATATTCAGTGTTTCAAATGTTCAAATGGGGCACTTGCGATTTTTGCGATTCGCGCGACCTGCGACGGATCGCGGACTCTGACACCAGCCTAAGGAGATTGGTACACTCTGTCCTAACAGCGGTGGTGTTCCTTGAAAAGAACCAGTGGAATCCTACAGACATTCACTGAGCCGCAAGTGTATCTCACTTCATTCTTGGTGGCCGAAATACTGTGTTGCTACGCTGGAAAATGAACAAGAATTGCGACGAGAACCGCTAGATAGGGATAAATGCAAAAGGAGCTATAATAGAAGCTGAAATTGAAGGCCTCCTTTTCTAGTAGGACGCGGTACGGCAGAGTGACCCAGCGCGAAGCAGAGGGAAGACAAAGACGCGAAAGAGGACGTGGTATGAGAGAGCTCAGACACCGTATCTACCGCATCTCCTGCGAACGAGTAAAAATGGCAGCGGTCGCTGCGGTCAAACCAAGGCCTTAACACACCTGTCGCGTGCACTTTCGAATGGAGACATTGTTATGGCTTACGTGCTTGGAAAACCTACTACCCTCTCACGTGGAAAATTGCCACGGCAGGTTCAAAGGAAGGGCAAGCAGTGGCTGCCACTTTGCTCGAGTAGTGTTAGGTTTCTGGGTTTTGTATACCTACTTATTCAATCAGTTGAACCTGCGATATGACTAGGTTTTATCCTCGCACTTGGAACTAGAAATTTTTGAAAATATAGGGGAAGTAAAAGTTTCATGTGCAAACTCTTAGGAGTACACACGTCACACGTCAAGTCGAAGTTTATTGAACCAAGTCCATTTTTCAAGTTCGATTCCTGTTTACTTCTACCACTTGAAAGGTCAAGTAAGAGCGTGAAAGGCGCTCGGAGCACTTAACATGTTAAAGATTGCTAGCTGAGCTGAATGACGGGACGTCACCAACACGCGAACGCGTCCGCGCCGCCGGTGAGCTTTTCCATAAAGCCAAGATCAAATATCATACCAAAATGAGGTAATGTCACGTAG